AGGCAATAACAATAAAATTAATAGATGCATTTATCCCCCATGTGAGAGCAAGACACAGGGAACCCTATAGCAAACGAAGAGGGAAAGAGAGAGACTATGAAAGCCAAATTAGTGTCATGGAAGCAATGACATCTCTTTTCACAATGGGAAGTCCTGAACCTGCTTATTAAAGTCTCGTTGCTCACAATAGAACACAGGCTATAAAAAGGCCATGGGGAACCATTAATTAAATATTAAAAGATCAAATAGTTTTAGTCCCATTAGTTTGTATGTAATTTACATTCTCAAGTACAAATTTAGAGATAATTCCCCATCCCAAATCGCTTTCAACTTTCTGATAAGGTATCTGCAAATATAGAGTCCTACAGGGAGTTTAAAAATATCTTTCCCCATGTGGATTAAGTATTATTTCTTTCATAAGAAGTTGCTTTTGAATACAGTCTCCACAACTAAGATGATTATCATAATGTACCTCAAGTTATTAGCCTTGAGGGATACTTTTGTTCAGAGAAGGCACTAGTCTGTATTTAGATATGTCTAAGCAATAATAGCAGATGAGCTCAAACTGGAAGAAAAAGTTATCAAGCGTATAGATGACAAGGGGTTTAGACCTTCACTTCTGTGACCTCTAACTCACTCTTCTAGGTCAGAGGTAGTGCAGTGTGTTGGAAAGTGTCAAGAGTCCTGAATTCTGGACCTACTTCCCAGTCCTTCATGGTCTCTAGGTTGCTGCCTGATCTTGGTTGGACAAGTTACACCTCCTTTGTGTGCTTTATGGGGTATTTTAGACATTCTCTAAGACCTTCTACCACTGAACAGAATTCTCCTAAACTAAGTCAGAGTGGCATCAATTGGGGAAATAATAGTATGAAAGCCTGATAGAAGGAAATAACCTCCTTTGACTGATTAGTAAAGAACAATGAGGTTTTAAGGACCAGACTGATTTCTTTCATGATCTGATACTCAGTCCTGTATTTAATAACTGAGATTAAGATGTTAACATTACCTCTTGTTGGCCAAGAATTAATCTGAATTTTCATTTCAGTCATCCTTTTACAAAGCCAACTTGAAATTCATTTAGTTGATTCTTTTTATTATAGCACTGACAGGTCTATCTGGTACCTGAGTTAGTTTATCCTGCCACAGAAAGCCAAGAAATGGCTTTCCTTCCTAGTTTAAATTATACACATAAAAAACAACCTAAATATCCAACAAATGTTAAATAAATTTCAGTACATCCCCACAGGGGGATATTATAGAACTGTTAAAAATAATGTTACAAGGCTGGAGGTGTAACTCAATGGCAGAGTACATGCCTAGCATATGCAAAGCCCTGGGTTTAATTCTCATTCACTCTCTCTCTCTCCCTCTCACACACACACACAAATGGTATAGAAGGATATTATTGACATCGAAAATAATATTGAGCATACAATCTCACTTTACATAAAAATTATATATGTAAGAAGTTTAAAAAGATATATACCCAAAGGTGTAAGTGAATAGTCAATACTGTTTGGTTAGTTTTCAGTAGTGGGATTATGGTGACTTCTATTTTGTTTATCCATATTTCCTAATTTTGTATTGATAAACCATTTTATGTGCAATGATTTTTAAATCTTTTAGTAAAATAAAATGCTGACCAAGAAATCTTTTCATTCACTCACTGCTCTTCTGAATCTGCAACATCTATCCCTCAAATTCTTGATCTGTAATATTTTTTTTTCATTGAAGCACTGGCTCCAGAACTATGAAATGGCAGCTGGAAACTGGTTCTAGCCCCAGCTTTGCTCTTTCTAGTCTCACGGGCAAGTCAAAGCTCACTAATAACATTCAGTCAGCAGCTCCCCCTTTCTGGCCTTTATTTCCCTCTGCAACTGAATGGATTGACAAGCTCATTGGGGTACAAAGTGTGGTCTGTGAACAAAAACCTTCAGTGTTTCCAGAAGGTTTGTAGAAGTGCAGAATCTAATTTGTTTGCACAGTAGCGATTAAGAAGCCCTGTACGACAGCATCTCAGATCTCACTTCAGCTCTAAGGAGTGATACTTTCTGAAGAGGTTCATAGATTTGAAACTTTATGAGTTTTGGTTTTATTTAATTATCTCTTCAGAAAATAAACTGGCTCTTGTTTACTCCTATAGACCCTAACATCTCCATTTCTATCTCATCCTGGAATTCCTGTGACATCCTGGGCATCTCAATGCCATTCTTATAACCACATATAGAAATGTGAATGTTAACCGAGAAAAGGCATCCATAAGAACAATTTTGAAATAATTTATGAAATGTTGATAAATGTGTCATATACTCTGAGAACTTTTATAAAATTAGCTTATTTAAACCTGACATAAGACTGGGGTTTTTATCCACACTTTTCAGATGAAGAAATTCATACACACACACACACACACACACCTTTCCATTTTCTCAACTACCACCACATCAGGAGATCTGTTGTTTATAAGCTAGTAAAACTGAGTTAATCCTTTTTTTTTTTAAAGCCTGTCATTATAAATTTCAGTTGAATCAACAGTTGTCCTTTCATTATCCTCACATGTGCTAACACACATTGGTTATGCTCACAGGCTAGAAAGAACTCATGCCTTTTAGTCTGAAGGAGAGCAAATGTTGAGTGCACTGGGAATTTTGCCCTCATGGCCAATAAAGAGTTTTCAGATACACAATAGACTCACCAATAAAATGAGAATAAGCTTTTGAGAACTTAGGGTTGTTTTCTACACACCTGATGAAGATGTTCTTCACGCTGATTAGACTGATTCACTGAAAACTCTTATACAAGGGCCATAAATTCAATTGTGCACGATAAGAAGAGCAGTGCATTTGACTGGGTAGGCAGATTCAGAATCTAGCTGCAGATTTTCCATTAATAGTGTGTGGCTTTCAGAGTTCAATTCACTCCTCTGAAATTTCAATATGTTCACTTTTAAGAAAAATATGGTAAGCCCTCCCCTGCCTACCACACAGTTTCACTGCAGGGAACCAAACAGATAAAGGATGTGAATTTATTAAATAAGTCACACAGAGACACAATAATAAAAGCATTATGGAAATATATAATAACATATGTAGTGGCTTTGGATTGTGTCAATTTAGCTAAGCTGGAACTACATTTTCTAGAATTGTGTTTGCTTTATTTCCAAAGTGGAGTTGGCTGAAAGAGACATCAGTGCAAGATTCAAAAGGCAAAAATGAAATATCAGTCATTTTCCTTGCTGAAAATCAGTATAGGTCATTTATACACTGGGGCAGTGCTGCCTTGTGTTCAAGGCAACTACTACCTGGTCCCCTTGATGATAAGGAGTGGAACCTGTACCAGTATATCCATATTAGTCTGATTTCCTCCCCGAGATTCTCCTAACCCTGGGTTGGCTAAGTGAGCAGTGCAGTGGCATTAGTTACCAGCTACTAAAAATGAATCCCAGTGCTGGGAATGTGGTTTGGTAGTAGATTACTTTCCTGGCATGCCCTGGGTTATAAATAAATACATACATACATACATACATACATAAGATGGATATCATCAAAGTTAGATGATGGCAGATAGACAAAGGTTTACTTTGTCCTGAGAAGTTTCAGTTTTGCCATGTATTTTTTCCCTCTTCACTATTCCCTATTCCCTCTTTACAACTGCTTACTGGTTGACCTATACCAAATTAGGCCCATCACCAGATGCAAAGACAACATCTCTACATGGAGTTTTAGTCAGGTTTCACGATTGCCTTGGCTCCCAATGATAAATCCCTTACTCTATATCACTGTATTGCTCCTTTTCATCAAACCCCGACTTCATCAATATCAAAGATTATAAACCTCTAGAGGATGCTTTGATTTCCTTTGCAGCTCTATCTCACAATTTAACTTTGCAGATTCAATAAAGTTCACATATTTTGGAAAGCAGACCATATGTTTGACATATGCAAAAACACATAAACACACCCATAATATAGAACCTACCAAAGCACCTTGCACATAAGAATCTACATAATGTTTAAGCACACACAACCACACACACACACACACACACACACAAACTCACACACATTCAATTGCTTTAGTTAAAAGTGTATCGTAAAACTATATTTGTAAGGATACTAAATTAGAATTCATTAGTGAAATCTTTGTAAATAGTTGCAAATTCTTGGCCCCAAATATTTATGATATTAAGTTGAAAAACATTTTTTTCAACCAGCGATTATTCCTTGCACACGAAAATTACACCTCTGAGGTCACAGTGCAATTCCCTAATTTTACCCCTAATTGATAATAGCTAACCACTACCTTTATTGACAAGAACATTGAAGAAATGAGAAAGAAGATTTAAAAAAAAAAAAAAAAGCTCAAGAGGGAAGGTACTAGAAACTCAGGAAGTACCTGATCCAGATGCAATAAATTTAAGACACCTTTTTACATCCAGTTAAAAGAGCCTCATCCTCACCCATTTACTCCCCAGCTGTACTGCACTTCACAGGTGAGACAGCTCAGCTCCAGACTGCAGCTACAGACTTGAGATTTTAAAGTGCATACCCCCACATCAGAACAACAGTACCCAGCTTCAATCCTAAAGATTCAGCCCATTCCCGAAACCCTTTTCCATTTCACAATCTATGTCTTTTTCCAAACAAACACCAGGTTCCCAGCTTTACATTCTAGCTGCTATATTATAGATTCACTCTGCATAAAACATTAGTTTTCTGAAGCCAGATTTAGCATGAACACAAGACTAAGGAACCAAAGATCCAAATCCTAGAGCAACTGTTTCTCCTTGATACTATCTGGGATGTCAAGAACAGACACTTAACTTTTCTGAAGTTTAGGTCCTTCATATGTACAATGGGAATAAAAAGATATCTCCATCATGATCATTGCTACTATTACATGAGAATAAAAAATAGTGCAAGCACTTGGCAAGACTTGTGGCACACAGAAGGACATTAAGATCTTTTAAAACAATTTTACATAGTATTTAAGAGCTTTTACCCTTGTAACGAAGTACTTCCGTGAGATATAAGGCTGGTGATAAGGATTGGGGCAAAGTGTTGATTTAGTCACACTTGACTGTCTTGAGATTTCCCTCCATACAGGGGTCTTGTCTTGATCTCCCTCCTCCATGGACAGGTGATCAGCTTCAGAGGGCTGGTCATCTCCCTCTTGCTTCAGAGACACCGGCTGGAATCCTTCAAAACTCCCAATTGTTGACATTTCTTCAGCCTAAAACAAGGGAAGAGAAGTTCTCTGATTAGAAAAACAAGTTATTTGTGTCCTAGCTACAGCAAAATAGGCTATGATGGAAAAAAGACATTCTGGAAACTGTCAACACCCCACAGGTTAAATAAACAGGGCACTAGTGGTTGAAGCTCAATAACCCACACTTCTAACTACAACCCATGATCCCGCAGGACCTTTTAGCACAGCACAGAAGCAGAGGCCTTCTGCACAGAGAAAAGGAAACTGCAAGTCTTCCATTTTCTCTTCTTTTTAAAATTTATTTTATTTTGTTTTATTTTTTAGTTGATTTTATTTTTTTAAATACACGACAGTGGAATTGCATTACAATTCTTATTAAACATATACAGCACAGTTTTTCATATCTTTGTATATAAAGTATGTTCACACCAATTCATGCCTTTATACATGTACTTTGTTTTTTGTTTGTTTGTTTACATTACAATGTGATGAATATCATAATCCACTTTCTCCTCTTTAATACAAGGAGACCAGAAGTTGATCTAAGTAAGAGTAGTATAAAATATTTACCAATTTCTCTTCAAGATTTCATAGGATTGTTGCTTGAAAACTCACCAGATTGTAAGCTTATTTAAAATTTAGCAATTTATCTGTTTTGTGGGTAGTAAGAGGGCAAAAGATTACTTAGAATTGAGTCCAGTTTTTTAAATTTGCTAATTTTCTTCCAATGCTAAAAATGTATTCTAAGGGAATAATCCAGACAACTGCCCAAAGACACACACACACACACACACACACACACAAATGCATTTGTTTGTTCATCACATTATGTCTAATAGAAAAATATGGCATATAGTAGCAAAATTAAACATATAGTATCATGTATAATACCAAAAATTTATAGTGAGACTTGAGTATCAATCAATACAGAATTGACCAAATAAAATGTTATGCCATATGATCAAATACAATACAATAATTAAAAAATTAGTATACATTGGTATCATGTAAAGATGTCCAAACTATGGGGAAAAAAATAAGTTATATGGGTAATGTTATTCAGCCTGTTAAAATCATTTAGAAAGAAAGAAAATATCATAAATGATCTTGTATATGTATATACCTGCATGATGTGGTTAGAAAACATCTGGGAAAAAAAGTAAAACAGAATATTAAAAATAGTTATCTCCAGATGAAAATGTTAGAGGTGCTTTTCATTTTCATGTCTCTGGATATTAGTAGTGATCATACATCATTTAAAATAAAAATAATAAATTTATTTCTATTTTGTAAATATAAAACAAACCAAAATAGAAGGCACACGTAAGCCTCATGAAATGTGTATCTGAAACTGCATTTTCAAGCTGAGGCAGGAGGCCAGTCATCCCTGATACCAACTCTACATGGAAGGTTTTATGTCTAATTTCCCCATGTAACTGGGAATGTACCACTTTCTCAGTGCTGCCTCCCTGTGCTTAATCAAAGGTAGTTTTAATTCAATTTCCTTAATTCCCATGAAACACCCAAAAGTGAGAAAAAGCCCATTCCCCAAAAAGTTTCCTCTCTTGAACTTAGGCCTAGCTACAGTATTCAACAGAAGTCAAAATGGCATGATCATGCAGTTTATTACCTAAACCTGGGTACTTTGGCATTGAAAGGATACTGCTGTGTTAGGATTATGGCTCAGTGGTAGAGCGCTTACCTAGCTCATGTGAAACCCTGGTTTCAATCCTCAGCACCACATCAAAAAATAAATAAAGAAAATAAAGGTATTGTGTCCATCTACACAATTTAAAATATATTAAACTATATTTTCAAATATAAATTAAAATTACACACACACATATGTGTGTGTGTGTGTGTATATATATATATATACATATATATGTATATTTTGTTTTTAAGGGAACTGTTAGCACTTAGGCCCGGATGATAGAAGCAAACAGGACTGCCTCAGACAAACGTGACCGTAGACAGTCACCTTATGCGGTTGAGTGTAGGAGAACACAGTCAGTTAGGGGAACCCACAAGGGGAAAGTCTTCTGCAGTTTGCAATTTATTCTGCTTCTTCAGATGCTTCCAGCAACCCTGGAAGAGTTTTCTACTCTATCCTTGTGTTTCTGAGGACACAGAGTAGAGGGGTCCTACCCAGAGCACACTTGGAGAGCTGTGGCATCACCTGGACTTCCAACCAAACTGTGAGCCCAACATGTCCATCATGATGTCATGCTGTCCCCTAACAGGAGGGCCTTCCTTAGTTTCAGGTAATTTTTTAAAGTTAGATGTGCAAAAGGAAGAGATTGGCCTATAAGAATACAAAGGATGGAGAAGCAGGGAAATATAGTGGGAATGTGAATGAGGGTGAGAGAGGTGGGGCTGGTGAGGCACCTTGGCCTTGCGGGCAGCTGAGCACCCTGTTTATACAGGTCTGCCACCTCCACCTCCGCTACAGTGGGTGTTGGAAGGAAATGCCTTTCTAAAGTTCCCTATAACCTGTGAGGGAAGAAGGTTTGTGTCACTCGGGAAGGAAAGCCTGCTTCTGTATTTGCGCACTCTGTGAACACACGCCTAACAACAGACATCTGTGAAAGGCTCCTGTGCCTGGAAAACAGAGGGCGGATTTAATTAGCACCACTTCCTCTCCCTCAGGCTGTCTTCTCTGGAAACACTCCGGGAAGCTCAGCACTCTGAGACCAAGCTGTTTGAGATCCAGGAAAGAAGGAAACACTTAGCTCCATTTACATTCTTACAGCCATAAATAGTGGGAAAGTTAAGCACAGCCACCCAATGGAGAAGGATTCCAGCTCTACAACAATCAGGGGGAAGTCTTGGATGGACAAGGAATAAAATTCTTCAACAACTTTCCTGATGGGAGAGCAGGGCTGAGCCTCTAAGCGTCCCTCTCCATTCCTCAGTCCTCTCTGCAGACAATTTGTTTATTCCCAGTTCAATAAGCTGTCCTCTCTCCCTGCACAAATAGACTACATGAACTGAAATACTAAAAGCATATTGATACCAGTAACAAATCTAGCTCACATCAAATATTCCTCTGCTTTTGCAACAAACCCATGGAGAGCCATTTCAAATTGAAAAAGACATTGCTTCATGAGATTCCCTATACATTTATCTTAGCATTTAGTGCCCAAGAGCAAAAACAGCACAATCTCATGGAAAATTAAAATGTCACAGTTTAGAAAACACAAAAGAGGTTCATACTTTTTCACTGAACCTTTTTATTCCTGGAAATTTGTGTAGTATAAAGTATCCTAAAGAAAGAAAATACTACAATATCGATAGCTCATTCTGGATGGTAATAAAAAATTGGAAATCAACTAACTGCCTAATGATCAGGGCTGACTTAATATTTCCAACTGATATTGTGTACACATTAAAAGGATAACAGGCATCAAATCTGCACCAGCATGACAATAAAGATCATATCTTCTTGAGTTAAAAAAAGCAAAAACCAAAAAATGTTATCTGGTAATGATTATTGGAATAAAGTCTAGAAAAGAAATATTTAGATTTATTGAGTTTATGGAATTGTGAGTGAATTTTTCTTTAAAAAATGAAATTAAACCACAGTAGCGCTGATTTCATAATTTAAAAAAAAAAAGTATAAGTAAAGGCCAAATAAATCTCGAAAGAAGAGCCACCTTCATTTCAATCAGACAAAAAAACTCAGTATTTTTCAGTTTCCAGAAAATTCAGAGCTAAGTTTAATGTAGTTTTTCAGTAAATAGCTTATTTCCAGGTTCTGGTCTAAGTATAACCATCTTTTTTTATATATGACTTCATTTATCTCACTGTGACTTTTTCTAATAGCATTTCAGAAGCATGTAGAGCATAAATAATATATAAAGGATTCTTGTCTAGTACTTCTCAAATATTGGAATAGACCCATTGAGACAAAGGATCTTACCCAAGGTCACATAGCAGCTTAGAATCAAACCATGAAAGCAGACTGCTAGTTTTCAGGACTCTAGTTCACTGTTCTTTCCTATTTGTCTAGTTGCAACTTTAGAAGAACAGCAGAGGCATGACCATCAGAGACACTTTGGCAGGTCTGAGGCCAGTCAGGGAGCAGGGCCCCTTTGCAGCTTCTTCCGCATCACTAGCCCCCAAACCCATGTGGCAAGATGAAGCCTTTCTCCTTCCCCAGAACCAAGATGGCACATCCATTAGGCCCAGGAAGCACAAAGCCAGGGATTCACAAAGGTTTTGGGCACTCACCAAATGTTTGACCTTATTTTAAAATCAGAAGGGAAAAAAATAACTTTTAGGATCAAAAAATATTTTAACTTTTTTCTCACATTAAAAAAAGTAAAATTTGTAAGGTACTACAAACCTAATACATTTTGACTAAGAGAGAACAAATACAAAATATTAGACTAAAGCCACAAAAACACAATTTTTAATGTTGATATTATTACAAGGAAAAGGCTCAAAAAGGCAAAAGGCCCATGGAGACAATAATGAGGCCCTGACTCGAATCTACACCACTCCTCAGATTTCCCACTTAATTTCCCATTCTGGATCTCCACCTCAGACCTTCTGAAGGAGAACCCTCCCCACCCCTCTCATCCGCAGCTTTCCAGTCTCCCCCCAAAGCTGCTGCTCCACCACATACTGAAAGATTTCTGTCCTGTAGACAAGCTACACCATCATCAGATGATCCTTTTTTCTCTTTTAAAATCAAAGACAGATCCAGCATACTTGTCCCCCAGTAAATACTTGCTTCCCAGGGAAGTAGATGAATAAAAAGTTCTGAGAACAACTAATTAGATTAAAAGGAGTAGCCAGCCACACTCACTAGCCAGGACTTGAGTCAGAGGCAAAGTAAATGAGGTTTGGGAATTTTTCCTCCCTCTCCCTGGAATTCCAAAAGGAATGGTTTGGATATAACAGAAAGTATCATAGTTCAGATTTAAGAAAACAAGATTGACATTAAACAGAGATGCTGGTAAAACTCAGGGCTGTTTCTCAGTGAACTACATAATGGCTCTGCGGTTTGCCAGTCTCCA